TAGGGTATCGCGAGGGAGGCCTCCGCCTGTAGGCGGGGGAACGTGCGCGGGCCATCCAGGCCTGCCCCCTCGGTGGACGGTCCCTTGGGGCTTGGCGGAGGCGACCGCGTCCATAGCGGACCTCCGTCCATCCCTCAGCCATCACCTGAAATAGGTTTTTTAATTTTAAATGAAATTATTTATTTTTGAAAAAAGAAAAAAGAAAAAAGAAAAAAAGGCAAACAACTAAAGGAGGGTTTCAAAAAGTAGAAACAATACGTAAAAGGAAAAAAATTGTTTTTGGTCTTTGGGTTTTTTTAATTTTTTTGTAGTTTTATGTTTTTTTAGTGTTTTTGGTCTTTTTGGGGTTTTCTAATTTTTTTGGTATTTTTTAATTTTTTAACAACTGATGAACTGATTTACAAAAAAAGAAAAAAAATTTTTTAATAGTTTTTTAGAAAAAAAATGAGTTGATTTGAAATTTTTAATTTTTTAGAGTGCAAAAAAAATGTGTTGATTTTAAAGGTATCAAATTTTTGTAGTGTGCCGGGGCAACGTTTCGCCCTGGAAAGGGCTTCTTCAGGCCAGGCACACTGATGAATTGAACGGGGGGGCTCTGCTCTCGTCGGCTGTCTGCGTGTGTCTGAGGAGCAGAGAGAGGGAGCTGGCTTTTATAGCCTACTGGCTCCACCCCCTAGAACTAAAAGAAAACTTTGTTTTTAAGAGCAAATGAACTAAGGTAAGTGGTTTTTTACTTGTTTTAACTGGTTTTTTTTTCGTTTTGAATGTTTTTTAACCATATGAAATGAAAATTATACTTTGTAATTGTATTTATTAAATAAATTTTTGAAAAAATTAACAAAATTATGATTTTTAACAAATTGGTTTTTAATGATTGTAAAGACATATTTATTTGTTTTGTAAGTGTTTTGAACTTTTTTTATGTATTTTATCATCGTTTTTTGTATTTTTTTGTTTGTTTTTAATAAAACATTTTTTCTGGAGTTATGTTTTTTTGTGTGATTTTTTATTTTTTGTTGGGTTGGGTTGGGGATTAAAATTAGAACTGGGTTTTTTTAGAATAAGGATTTGGGATTAGGGTTAGGACCAGGTTAGGGTTAGGGTTAGGGTTAGGTTTAGGGGTTAGGGTTAGGATCAGATTAGGGTTGGGGTTAGGGTTAGTGTTAGGGTTAAATTTAGATTTTGGGTTTAGGTTAGGGTTGTTTAGGGGTTAGTGCTGGATTAAGGGAGTTAGTGCTGGGTTTTGGGAATTAGGGTTGGTTTAGGGTTGGGGTTAGGGTTAGGGTTAAGGTTAGTGCCAAATTGGGATTAGTTACCGGATTGGGGTTAGTGCTAGTGGTTAAGATTGAGGTTAGGGTTAGGGATTCTGGTTGGGGTTAGGGTTAGGGATTGTGATTGGGGTTAGTACTAGTTAGGGACTAAATTCGGGGTTAGTGTCAAAATTTTAGTATGGAGTTTGAGATTAGGGTTAGTTTTTAGGCCAGGGTTGTGGTTAGGAAGGACTATGGGTTAATTGTGTTTAATTTTTGCTCTCACTAATAGATTGGCCAAATTTTTGTTTCGTCTGTAGGCTAGTATTATCTGTGTATCGGGGAGAATTTGGGGGTCTTTGATGAATTTTTGGAAATTATTTTTGTATTTTTTGTTTAGAATTTGGCTAACGGTCGAATATGTGGTGATTAGGGGTATTACCTTTTGATCCGGTTTTTTGGTTTTGATCTGGTGGTATGTTTTGAGGCAGCTCCTGAGGAATGGTCTCGTATATCCCCGTTTCCTCAGGGCCCTGAACAATGTACCGACCGCTTCCGAAAAAAAACTCGGGTTTGGTACAGATTCGTCTGAATCGTAACAGCTGGGCCTTCACAATTCCTCGGAATGTATGTTTTGGATGGAAACTTTTCCGGTGTAAGAGTGCGTGCGTGTCTGTAGTTTTGAAGAATGTCTTTATGTCCAGTTTTCCCGATTGAATGAAGTCTGTTCCTTTTAGTGTTG